GACCCCTGTACAAAGACTGAATAAAGACTTCTTTATGTAGAAGATTTTTACAAGCTCCAGGACAATACATCCTCAGTTCCAGGGGTTGAAGCACCAAAATGGCTTTTCAAATAGAGTTAGTACACAGAATCAGATTTGTAGCTTTCCCCCACCCCCTGTAAGGTTTTGACTGGTGGATCTACACCCTTCATACGATCATGGCTCCAACAAATGAAAATGAAGTATAGATTTTGCTGCCTACCATCCCATAAGCTGTGCACATGTATGCAATAGTTTCCCTGTGGTCCCTCTTCTCATTGTCAAGCAATCCACACATGAACAGCCAAGAATTACTATTAAGTCTATACCAGTATTTTAAATTTCTTTTAAGAGTAGTAAAAGGGTCAAAATTCACATAATGGAATAATGTCCTTAGTAATAAATATTTCATTAGTTACATTTCAGCAAAGCATTTAAACACATGCTTAACTTCAAGCATGTACTTAAGAACATCCTCATTCAGCAAAGGACTTAAGCACGTGCTTCTATATACTGACTTCAAGGGGCCCAACACTCCTGCTGAAAATCAAGCATCCAAAACATTATTTTGCTTAACCAGAACCGTTGTCCAATCTGTTTGTATGATAACGAACAAAGGAAAAAGTGAAATGCTTAGCTTTTTGTAGTCCTGTACAATTTGAAATAGCTAAACACTTACAAAATCTAACAACATGAACAATCAGGGGTAGAGGCTTATTTCAAATCATGGGCAGATTTTGTGACTGGGTAATTGGGATAGTAGTAAGGGAAATTCCCACATGTGCTCAAACTATATCTGCATTAGGAAGGCTCACTGTAATCCTGCGATATTTGCGATATAAACACCTACCCTAACTAGCTCATTATCAAGGTATCTTGATCTAAAACTAAAAACTTTTTGGGGTAACGTCATGAGTTTCATTGGAAGTTAAACCAGGAATAGATCCTACCATGTTTTATCTACCTACTTTTATGCTCGTATAATAAACGAAAAGTCTATATTTTAGTCCTATGGTATTCTTATCATGACGTGATGAAAGAATAGCATCATATGTCAGAATATTTAATTGTGATTCACTGCTAGTACAACAGGAAGCACCTCTTGTGGATGGATTCATTACCAGATGGTTCTTCTGAGAACAAGCAAGTTACCAAGGCTGGTAGAATATTGCTGAGACTATTATGCTCATCTAAATATAACTGGAAAACTGACTGCAATTTCCAGATAGCTTTTCTGGAGTATTTGACAGTAATCAAACAACCCTTCTCCTCACCCCCTCTGCACCGAAAATTAAACTAAACACATTAAAAAAGCACATTTGCAAAGTAATTTACAACATCCCTCAGGAAAGGATGAGGGAGAGAACTAAGGAGTCATAAAGCATATTAATTAAGTTGTTTAATGCACTATTATGAAGGCCACATACGGACCTATATAGAAGGGACTATGTGTCATTTCTTTAATATTGTTGGACATACTAGTGCTAAATAAAATATTTAAGCCACAAAACCTGACCCTTTCCATCTGTGTGTAGAGGGCCCTTCTTGAAGCAGTCACTCCGGTTCCTCTATACAGAAGATATATATATATCCAGTTCTGCATGGACAACCTGGCTGATTCTACTTCTTAGCTCTTTGTATGTAAGACAGGCCACCAGACCTGCCACTATGTATTATCTGGTCAATAATCAGGGAAGCAGTTGGAGGTGAAGGATCTCTCCTCACCACCACCTGTGGAAAATTGGAAGCAGTCAGCTTGCTTAATTGGGCTGAGCAATGGGACCAAGAACTAGCCCCTATTGGAGCCTTTTCTTGTCACATGTTATGCAACTGAAATGCAGCCTGTTTGGCAAATATGAAATAGCAAAGTTAAACCAAGTCTAGAGATACCAAGTACAGAATAAAATTGATTTTAGTAGAACTGACTGGAATGTTTTAGGATGTACTTGGTTACACTTTTAGAATCAGAGTCTCCTTTCCACCTAAATTATAAAATGGAAACTGCTTAAGAGTTTTGAAGCTTAACTGCCAAGGATCACAAGAAAGTTCACTTCATTCTCTTCCCTTACAGAAAAATACATTTTGATCACATATATTGGGAAGTCTTGTTCACACAATTCATTTCCAAAACCGGATACAGTATGCAAGTTTCATTCTTTTGATTTCTATTACAATGAATAGATCACATTCCAGGTGGCACTCTCTGCTGTGTGAATTTGTTAAATATACTTTTTATATCCAGTCCAGCGCTGGAGCTGGATGCCTTTCAAGAGAAAGATTATTTAAACAAAATAATAAAAAAGGCTTAAACCTATAGTGACAAGTTCTCTCAATGACAAGTTAGCTCATATTATACTACATGGCAGGCCATCACACCTCTCTTCATTCAGCTAAAGTGAATCGATTTAACGTGTCTGCTGGTTTGATGGTTATATGCATATGTAGTGAAGTCTTACTGTGCAAACTGTTCAGAGCTTTCAAATAGCTTGTACCAGATTATCCACTGGTATAAATCAGTGCATATCCATGGAAATTCAATAGAACAATGAGGATTAAAACCAACTAAGGGTTTGGCCACTCAATCACAACCATTATGAGAAAGGTGTTCTGGTAAATCCTCATGTTTTACCCTCCCAATAAAAGGTTGCAGCTGAGCTGTGTTCACAACACTATGGAAAGTTCTGTACTTCATGTGGTATTCAAGCAGCCTTTCCATGCCCAAAGTAATGAGTGACTGTTTCCTCAGAGCCTGCAAATGTAGTGTCTTCTCCACATACATGATTTCCCCACTCCCATGAGGAAGGAAAAATCAAAAGCCTTTTGTTCTCTCTGTTCTCACTGTCCTGGAACATATGGACAATACCAGGCCCATACATAGTAGGGTTGTGCAAATTGGGCCATTTTTTATTCAGATTCGGCCCGAATCGGGGACAGTGAGTAGATTCGTTGATTCAGATCACTGTCTCTGATTCAATTTGGCTGAATTTGAAGATTTGATGCTGATTTGGAGAATCAGCAATTTGGCCACAGACACAGCTTTAAATATTTTTCTACATACTTCGAGGTACCAGGCATGGTACTCATGAGTGAGTGCATCCAATGCTGGGATGCTGGGGTGGATGGAGCATCCCACAGGGGTGGGGGGGCATGTGTACTTGGCAGGGGACCCAGAAGTGGACCGGAAGTACTTCTAGTCCACTTCCAGGTCCGCCAGGGAGTGTACTGGGGGACCTCCCCCCCACCTCCCTGGCTCAAAGATCAGGTGCCGGGGGACCCTGGGTGCCCCCTCAGGCCCAGGAGGCACCAGTCACTGAGGTGGGGAGGCCCGGGGGGCCCCCTAGCGCTCTCTCTGGTGGACCCGGAAGTGGACCAGAAGTGCTTCTGTTCCACTTCCTGGTCTGCTGCCAAGCATGCTGGGAAGCCCCCCACACTCCATCCACCCCAGGATCTCAGCATTCACGAGCCGCCTGGTACCTTGAGGTATGTAGAAAAAACATTTAAAGCTGTGTCTATATCCAAATCACTGAATCTTTCCGAATCTGTCCGAATCAATTTGGAGGGTTCCTATTTGATTCAGAGAGATTAAAGGGTCTCCTGATTCAATTTGGATTCAGAGATTTGGCCACTGAATTAGGCTGAATCTCTGCCAAATTGAATCAGACACTGAAGCTTCGCACAGCCCTAATACATAGGAGTTCCCATGTTTGAGGGAGAGACTTCGGCAGAATTGATCCTTGTGTAGCCCTAACCCCAATTGGAATTGTATCTTAGCTTGGGTAAATAGTGGCATGTAGCTCCAAATCCTGATATATCTCCCAAACTCTGATATTTTTTGTAGACCACTACAGGCAAGTTTCACTTCAGTGCAAACTAGTGAAAACCTTCTTGCCTTAATAGTTCCAGGATTGCTTTATTTTTCCACTGAGTAGTGATATTTCTATTAAAAGTTTGGGAATGAGTGCTTTCAGTATAGATTTCAACAATTAGAGCCACAAGATGGCTCTCTGAGACTTTCCTACTTTTGGTAACAATGGATACTGCAAGTGTTCTGACATTGTTTCCAGTGTCTTTCAAATGACTTCCATTTAATGCCTCTATTTTACTTATATGCAGAGCCATTAATTTTGTGCCTTCTGAAGACACTAGCTAGTGCTTATCACATAATGTATAGTCCTGCTTCAAGAAATGGTTAGTTTTATTCTTAAATCTTACCATGGATGCTAATCTAAATAGATACTCTGTATTAATTCTGAACAACCTGATTGTGTATTATATACACTGTGATGTTCTGGAATAAAGTGGCGGATACTTCATTTGTTGAAATCTTTAGAATAAGACTGGTGTCTTGCTCAAAAATTCCAATTCAACAACAAGGAATAGCTGAATAAAATAATTTCATTTGAATTTCACAGGAAGTCAGACTAGATAATAGCAATGACCCATTATTAGTTTAAGATGTCCAGATTATGAAATATATTACTATAAAAATAGGTTATTTGAATAAACAGTAGAACATCTGTAAAAATATCTGGATTTCATTTAAAAATAAATGAAAGCCCTGCAGTCTTCAACTTAGCTCTGGTTCTTTTCTGTTTATTTTCCCCAGATTAAATAAAATGTTACATATATATATATGTATATATATGCTTCCTATATCATGACTAATGTTATGAGAAGTTAAATCCTACTTCAAAAATTCGTATGCTTACCCCATACACAAGTTCTCCCACCATCCCATTCCAGATTTTTGTCTCTGGATCCCTTGCTCCATATTTTCCATCAGGGACAATGGCAATTTTGTACTTGATACCAATATGTTTTGCAATTTCTGATGCCAGATCTACACAGTATCCTTCAAACTTGTCATTCCCTTCAAAGGTATCATGGTTTTTCTTGAACATAACATATGGGGCTTCCTATAATGAAAGAAGTACAACTGTAAAGGAGAAGTAAACAGCATTGACTTTGAACAACAACATGTAATCCACCAGTTGAACAGTTCATGTTTTATCAGAAAGATACACACATACACACAGATAATACTTGCATTTAGATTTCTATCATAATAAATTTATAGAGATGTTTACTATTTGCACTAACTTGCTTATATATTTTATTAAAAATAACATAACACACCAAATTAGAGTTCTCACAATAGAAACTTATCATATATTTTGACATGAAAGCATGACTAGAGATTGAAATTGTTTATAATGAAAATAATATGTGATAATGTAAGGCCATAATCTACCCTTCTTTTTAATATAATCAGGTCTAGTCTTTAATTGGTTATGGTTTCTGTACATGTAGTCAAGTGCACATACCAATGATTGTTTGCTTCCTTGAAGTTTAAAATATGTGACTAAGAGAAGATCATGTGCATTTTCTAGGGATAACAGATACCGTCTTGAAATGATATATATAGGAATCATGCAAAGAATATGAACAGACCAGCACAGAATTAGACAAAATCTGTCTTTACATACTGTAGGCAAAAAAGGAACCACAGAAAAGTTACTGTAAAAATAGGTGCAGCTGGAAACTCACAATAAAATTGTTCTTAAAACTTTGATATTATATTCTGTCTGTAACTAATATACTGATATTGTACACTATTTGATTAAATAAAGAAAAATACAAATTACTTTATTGACATCTTGTGGATTCAGAATGTAACTATTACTTTTTATGAAAAAGTTAATTTAGGATGACATCTTCAGGGATTGTATAAATTTTTCACTAACAATCAGTTCAATATTAAATGATCACTACTAAAGTCACTACATAAGAATATTGTTGTTCTCTCCTCAGAACAGGAAATAGCTCTGGCTAACTGTTGTCAAAGGCTTATTTTGTAATCTGTGACTACTGCAGCCCTTTGCCCTCCTCACCTCTTCTCTGAATGCCTAATTAGCATACAGAAGAACGTACAAATAAAATGTGTGTTGATATTTCTTACTGAAGTGATGTCATGGGCATGATCTGCCAGTAGCAGCAATTTTGTAATATCAGATGTGTTTCATGGCTGCTGAGACAGAGGAATTGCAAAAATCAACTTTAAAATAAATGCTTGAGATGTTAAAAGATTTCCAGTTAAAATGCTGCCTGTAGGTATTGGTCTGCAGATCCCATTGATAGCAGAGCAGGATTTGATGTCAAGTTTTTTATGCTTTGGGAGGGTAATATACATTCAGTTTATTCTCTGTGGGTTGAGAGGGAAAGGGAAAGGGTGATCTATTCATCTTTTTAGTGGCAGACATTCTTTTATTCTTGCAAATGGGTCCTCTTCTGTAAATCTGACTGGTTCCAGAATGTAGCAGAACTTTAGGGTGAAAAAAATGAGTTTGTGTTACGGAGAGTCACTAAAGTTCACTTTGCGGAGTTCACTAAAGTCCACTATGGGTGGAAGTCCCATAATTAAGACTCCATACACCATGGGGAAAAGGAGGCAGTAATCCTTCTTTCAACCCAAGGGCAAGTCATGTGTGTTTTCCCCTTAACCTTTGACATGCCCCAGACCAATCAGTGCTGCCATGGAGCACAGTGCCAGAAGTTTGCAATTGCTTTATGTAGCCTGTGACTCAGTCTTCTAGCATTGGTTTTATTTTTAAGGCCTTTCTCGGCTGAGAGCATCTGCTACCAGTACCACTAAAAACGGCCCTAGACAAAGGAAAATGTCCACAACAACTTTGGATAGGACTTGCTTTGACTGGCCAGCTGGGCCTTTTATGTGATGTTTTACACATTTTAAAACCCCCAGGAAATCTGAGGATACTGACAGCAAAACACTGCATTTCTTCAGAGAGCAATTATGACCTTCAGAGGGCTGTGAATTGCAAAGAGTTCTAGATTGAATAGTAATTATGCTGTGCATGATGTACTTCTAGAGCCTTGAAGGCAAAACACTGAAAAGTGACATTTGCTACACATGTAGTTTATTATTCTGTTTTCCAGTGCTACATGCCAATGCTTGGGAAGGGAAGGGGAGAATAGTCCCCCTTAAGTATGTCCTTCCTGGGGTGGAAATGGCTGCCAGTAATGCAAGCCTATACCACTCTTTGCATTCCCATCTACAGTCAGGTGTGTTCAATCAGCTCTCTCTCTTATGCAGACAAAAGGGGAGAGAAGGTGTGGGGTGGAAAGGAATGCTGTTTTTCCTTGTGTAAGCCCTGCTTCACCAAGATATTAAAGAACATGCCTAATTTGAAGCATGTGAGGAGTCTTTATTCACATACAGAAGTACCTTGCTGAACCAGGGCCTTTGTTCTTAAGGGCTGAGATGTCTATAATTTGCATCTGCCTATACTAAAGAACTGGTAAAAGAATAATTAATCAGAGGACATAGATCACAGTATAGTGATTTAGCCAAGTGTCCAATTAGATATTAGGTATTGGGTAAAAGTGCCCCTAAACTCAGTCAGATTTCAGCCCTTCAAATGCCTTCTTTATAGACTTCAGCTGCACTTCCCTGGCATATTTTCACTTCTATTTTCCTTCGAAAGTGCTGAATTGAAGAATGCTGAAACCCCCTGATAAAGCTTTTCTGGCAACCCGCCACCCCCTCCTCCCCACTATAATCCCCACCTAAGAGCATGTAAAGTTAAAGATATTCCAGAGAAAACAGCTTTAGGCAGGGGCAGAGTGCACAGTGAACAGCATCCTCAAGGCAGAGCTGCCTTGAAGAGCCTTTTAACAGCCTTTGCCTCTTAACAGTGAAAACAATAATTAGAGGCTATGTAAACTCTGTGTTTTCCTTTTATAAATGTTAACTACATCTTCACATCAGCTCATGATCCTGTGAGGAACTGCTGCCAAAGTGTGTTACTGGAGGGGTCCAAAGGATACTATAGGGTGTATGGGATAGACGTATGTGCCCAATCTGCTTCTTAAACAGAGATGTGCTCTCAAAATACAAAGTTAAATGTCAGGAAGGTCTGGATCTGGCATTCAATTTGATCCACTAGTATGATGAGGAACATTTGAACTGGTAGAGATCAGAATTTTGCAAAACTGACCAGTATCAGGATCTGTCTTGTGAAGACTCCAGTCATAACAACTTAGGACACCCAAGAGGAAGCCTTACTGATTCCCTAACAAACAAATTCCAATGATTTAAAAATTAAAGGCATTACCCAAGTCAATTTACATGTGCCAGCTATTTTTTCTTCTGGAATAGCCAGTTTCCAGCTTTTTGTACACCATTATTGCCCCTTATATTGTTTCTAAGAGTCATGAAGAAAGCAGGGCAGGCTGGCATTACTTATGAACTATCTTTTGCAGGCAACAGCCTACCTCCTCAAATGGTACAAATGGACTACACTGGATGAAGTAGGTTGTTGCCTATGAAAGCTCATGGCTGTCTGAAATAGTTAGTCTCTAAGGTGCCATACCTTCTGTATGACTTCAGTCTAACATGGGTAGCCACCTTTGTTCCTAGAGGTGGAAACAAATGTTGTCTGTCTTCTCATTTGTGCCACCTTAAAATTTTTTAAGATGGCACAAATGATGAGCAAATAGATGTCCTTACTCTTTGTTATACCACATGACAGGAAAACCAGTGGTACAACAAAAGGTAGTAATAGATTCTACCACTTTATTGTGGTGGATGTCTATTACCTTGTGGTGCTTTCTCTTCTCAGCCAGTCCTGCAAAACTGTGAAGTGGATCAGCTGTGGCGCAACATATTGTGGTACAGCTGAATTGTTTCATTTGGCAACTTCTGTTTCTAGACTAAGAGTATGTGCTTAGGATGCCCACAGAAGTTTACTTTTCATTACGTCTCCTTACATTGTTACACAGAAAGTACAAGCAGATATTACCCTTGTACCACCATAACATTTTTTATGGCAGAACAAGTTGTGAGTAAACAGACATTCTTGCCTTTTATTGGGCTCCAATTGCCCCCAAAAGTTTGAGCAACCAAATATACTCACAGTTTGTGACATCTTAAAGGGGACAGTGTTTATTCATGTATTGTGCATCCAGTGGTTCCCCTGCTTGCAGGTGGAGATGCATGCCTCAGGGCTATTTTCCCACAGGATCTGGCCCCTGAAGCCCCAGGAGCGGCAAAAGCCAGACCCTGCAGGACAATGGCCCTACTAAAGTCTGTCTCTGCTGATCAATCAGGTAAGCTATGCTGGGACACATTTCAGCACAGCTTGATGCTGCAACACAGCTACTGTTTGTTTGTACCCACAAAAACTTTCCTTTAAGAGGAGCCTTGAAACTGACATAACTTAATCTGTTTCAAGGCTGCTACAAGCATAGTACTGATAGTTGAGCTGACTAGAAGGATTACCTGCCTGCCCCATTTCAGGCAATTTTCTGATTCTGTATTGATAGATCAGTAATGTACATCTTCTTATATCTTAGTGCTATTTTCTGTTTATCCCACTGGATTGTTCAAAATGGATTGTTCTATAAACCTCTTTCAGAGAAAGTGACAATTATATTTTTTGGAATATAAACTCTAGCCTGATAATGAAAATATTGATATAATTTATTTTGAGTAAAATATAGTATTGTTAAAGGCATTTTACACTGCAATAAGTGAGCTACTTAATAGTATTTTATGGGTAAGGAAATGGCATACAAAGACCATATTGAAACAATCAATGACTAGCATGGAACATAAATAGTTAAAATGGTGCAAGCTTTACTTGTACTCTTCACAATTTTCTAACAAAGTTTAACATATTTAATTACAGAACAATGTCTGAAACAAGCACCTTTATATAGCTAAGCAAATCATTCCATCACATTCCCATAAACTCAAATGTACAGTAAAATGCTCACAACTGGAAATAACTCTAGAGAGTCAGAAATAATCACTAACTCTAACAGCAATCTAATCAGTGTTTGGTTAATTTTTGAATAAGCCCCTTTGAATTTGCTAAATCATTGAAAAAATAATTTGCAATAGGGAAAAATAGTTGTTACAGGAACTATTTTCTTTAAGAAAATAAGTGGAATAGTTTGTCTCTGTCAGTTCCGAAAAAAAAACAACCCCCCTCTAAACACAATAAGAACAACAAAAACCTGAAACGCAAAATACTTTTATAAAAGACAAAGGAACTTTTCTAATAACTTGTTCAGGATTCCGTTTCAAATATTTAGTATTGGCCTGCAAAATGTTTCCACTTCTGTCTATCCAACTAATAATTATAATTAATTAAAAATCTAATAAAACTATATATCTGTTTATTGGAAGAAAAAGTTAGATCTAGAATTTTTTTGGACAATATAAAATGATTGGCCAAGGAAGAGATTACACTGATTAAAATTATTACCTTCTAAAATGTGAAATTTGGCTTGTGTATGGGAAATAAGTCTTAATTTCTCTTAAGAAGCTCTCTCAACCAGGACATGACATCAATTAGAGTTCTTTTAGCTTTACTTAGCCCTAATGATTTTTGGGTGCAAAGATTTGTAATGCACGCTATTAGTCTTCTAATACTAAACCTATTACATTGAAGCCCTGAGTTGGGAATTGGTTATATAATGACAGTTCACCAAGGGATTTAGCTCTTTGGTTCTAAATATTTCTTTTAAAAATGTTTTTTGTAAATTTTTTTTGGAAACGTTTTATATTAGAAAAATTTAATGGCTGAAAGAGTAGTTTGCATTCTTGAGTAAGACTTTTCACTAGACTGGAGGGCTCAAAATATTCTACCCAATTCCTCAGTATTTTACTCCAGGCACCTGCCACTAATATTTTAGGATGCCAAATAAAATATGTAAAATAAAATCTAAGCATATTTACTGTACTGCAAGTAAACATTTTTTGCTAAATAAAGACCAAAGGTGTTTAGGTACAGATCGAATTCCTTTTAAAACATCTTATATTTAATAGTAAAATATTAACATTACAGCAAACAAAGCACAGGCACATACAAAATAAGACAAAGTGAAGCAGCTAGTACTGAAGTGCTTTAGACTAAAATCAAAGCTTGCCATGCTGACAACTCTTAGGGGGTTTTTTTGTTTTTTTTGTTGTTTTTTTTTAAATGTGCCTAGATATTTGCCTTCCACAGACTGAAAAGCTTGACAGCACTGATCCCAGAAGCTTTTCAGTTTAATGTTGGAAGGTATGCATGCAGCCAAAGTGGTATTTTCATCTACATTGAAATAACTTCCCTTCAACATGGAGGGGGCAGTGAAGAGGTCATAAGTCTCCATCTACTTTTTGCAATTGGAATAAAGTACATAGAAAGAAAATGACAGGATTCTGAAAAATACAGTAGTTAAATATATTTTTGTGTGGTTACATGCTTCTATGTTCTAAATATATTACCTTTGCAAATGCATATAAAAAAATTTGCCTTCAAAATCAGTTGTGCAGCTCCCTGTAAGGTCAAGGGGAGAGCTGCATAATTAGCTCAGGACAGAATTTAACTGTGTAGTTTTACTCAGACCAAATTCTGGTTGCTTTGCACATTTATCACAAAATATTTAGAGTGGAAACCCTGGGTCAACATGTGAAATTTCTTTCTTTTTTTAAAAAAAGAAAAAAGATTGTACTTATTCCAAGATGACATGCTTCATGAAAACAAGGCATGCTTTGTAAAACTGATTCAGCTTTTTGATTTGCAAAATGATACCACCAGTCCTTTTCATACAGGAATTGGGAAAGTTTTTTTAAAGAGATAATTTATTCTGCACATTAATCTGCTTCAATGCAAACAGGACAGGCAAGGTAATACATTTTAAAAGCTTTTGTTTTTTCCCTACATCCTTTTTGGCAAACAGGCACCTTCTATTGTATTATTATTTACTTGCTTCTCCTAAACTTGGAGCTATTTATGGAGATTATATTGTTCATGTATGTTAAGCCTCAATTAAAGATACCAGGATTGGTATGAGAGAAAAAATTCAATTGAGAGCTTGTTTTTCACATCATTCTCTTCTCAGCTTGGCAAAGTTGAAGGTAAACGTCATCTGTTCTAGACATTTCAGAATAGTCACAGAACTTTTCTTGGTGGTTCAGTGCCTGGTCATCCAGTCAGAGGAACAGTAATCCGTATGGAAAAATTAGCTCAATTCTACTACATTGGAGATTAATACTTGAGCCTTAGATTGGAATGTTCGCAGCATCGTGGGACTCTTTTCTTCCATGATCAATTTCTTAAAATAGGATTCTTCATCAGAGGCTGAAAAGAGGAGGACTGTACTGAAGTATAATTTTTTCCATTATTGTGTCTTTTTTAGGAAAAAAAGATACATTAATTTGTAAAAGTCCCATGCAAAAATACACAATTAGGTTAGGAGTTACATTCTGAATGGCTGTATAGTATGTTGGTTGAATTTGCATCCTAAAATTATAATCTTCAAAAGGAGGTTTGTCAGGACACACTCACTACACAAATGCTGATACATAATACAGGCAATATGGTAGCTAACTTCATTCTTTGACTCAGAAAGCTACACAGTAATTCCATCTGTCCCTTGGTTAATGCTCAATTCAGTTTAGAAAAGTTCTCCTTAAGAACACAAAGACTATTCCTCCCTAATCAACACATTCCTTATCTTGGATCGTTAAAAATGTCTTGTCTAATGAGATAGGTGAAAAGGTCAGTGAACTGAGGTGTAAAATTTTTAAACTAGGCAGGTAAAGGTCATCCTTTGCCAGTCTGCTTTGACAAACATCAGCTTGAAAGGGAATTTCTGACTTCAGAGGGAAAAATGTTAGATATTCTGTTTAAAAGGTATCCCTTGAAAATATATATATTTTTAAATTGTACGTGTCTCTATTAATGGGAATTAATGAAGCAATTAAATTTTCCTCACTTTCCAGGAGGTCTTTAAAATGTATCATTGAAAAATTTTTGTTAAAAAACTTATATTTTACATCAGTTGAAGTAGAGAATATAAGCATTATAAGGACACTAACAAATAACTAGTAACATTTCTAAGTTTTCTCTTCCTTTCCTATAGAAAAGTAAATAAACCAGAGCTGGAAGGCTAACTTTCCTCATACTTGTCCTGAATTTATAGTACTAACCAAATGACACCTGCTGTTAAAGAAGCCAGATTTTATGCCCTTCTCTCAATTCTTTCCTTTATATCTTTTTTGGGTTTTCTTTTCTTTCACTGTCTTACAAGTCACAGTTCATCAATCAGATTTTGACAGAATTCATTTACATTCCTGAGAAGTCTTTCAAAGGACAGCAAGAAACATCTCAATAAAAAATGGATACATTTCCCTCAATTTGATTTGAAAACCAATTTCAAATGATTATTTCAAGCGCACACCACAAATAGTCTGTACAGAGGTGAGAGTCAAGATACCAAAGACACGCAGCTTTCACCCTTTACAAACCCCAGAGCTGACAGACTAAACTGGACTACAAGAAAGGGCTTTGTATTATACACAAATGAAAACACAGGGAAAAAAAAACCTTACCAAAATTGTAGTTACAACTACTGTTCTGTTCTCAATGGCTGAAGTATCATTTCCAAGGGAAGGTTCATGCTGAATTAAAACTAATTTATCCATGTCATTCCAGTAACCAACCTGAAAAACAAAACAATATTTTTTTTCTGAGTAACTTAAAGAAATGAGTATAAATGTTACATTAATAATGGTATTACTCCTATTCAGTTGTTGTTTCAGAAGGATACTTTTAAAATAATAAACCTGACTGTCATTCATTTAGCACAGCAATAATTTACTTCATCTTTAAGCAAAGGAACAGCACAAGGCAAGTTAAAGTCCTCTTTAGTCTGAAGGCCTCCATGGGACTTAACTAGGTCCAAGGCTTTTCTGGTTGCTCTTTGCACCAAGGTCACGCTTACTCAATATTTCACAGGACCATCTGTGTATTAGGTGTGGAGGGGAAGGATGGGCCAGTGGTTGGTATGTTAGCATTGGACTTGTGAAGTTTGGCTTTACTACCCTGTTCCATTTCAGGCTTCCTGTGTTATACTGAGCAAATCATTTTGAGTAGGTCTGCTTTGCAGCTCAATGTGCCTTGTCTGAGATGTCAACAGTTATGTCTCTCACTTGCCCTACTGACATGGTCATGGTCTGACCTGGAAATGCACTTGTACAGCTGCTCCCCAACAGCTGCTCTCAAACACACCAAAACTGATATCCCAAGAGTGGCCACAGAAGGGCACCTTGGAGTGACCACACCAGAAGTTCCACAAGTGAAAATGTGACACTTACCAATAATGATCAGGGATCCTGGTTTTCTCTATTTAAAAATTGTGACTTCTCTGATTAAACCCCCCCAAATTTGCATTTTTCTGTGATTAAAATGAAATGCCATGACATATATAGGTGTCAGTTAAGCACAATCTTTTGATATATTAAAAAATTTAAATCAATTTGGAAGCCTACCAGTGCCTCAATCACTACAATAAAACAATTTCTAAATACCTATACATTTTGGCATTTGATTTAGGGTTTTTTATCATCGAAAATCAGAGGTCCCTTTGCCCTCTTCACTCACCAAGATGTGGGCCCAGCTGTGGCTGTCCCCCCACCAAAGCTTTGTGGTGCTGAGCAGCCCTTATAGGCCAGTGCCCTGCCCATGCCATTGCCCTTCACTGCCAACCCACAGCCCTCCAGCCCTGCCAGTGCCCCTCACTCCCCACCCACATGCCTCTAGCCCCACCGGTGCCCCTCACTCCCCACCAAGAGGCCCCTGGCCCTGCCAGTGCCCTTCACCTACCACCCAAAGCCTCCTGGGCCCTGCTCCTGACCCACACTCCTGACCCACAGTCCCCTGGCCCTGCTGTTCACCACCCACAGCCCCCTGCTCCCCCCGCCAGAGGGGACCCCCAGCTGCCAGGGCCATGGGGCCAGGGACCTGGCTCCACAGCTCCCTGCCCTCCCCAACAATGCTCTAGCCATTGAATTACAGGGAACTCAGGGGAGTTGAGCCCCCACATAAAAGATGAGACCCCCGCCCTGTAAGATTTGAAAATTATAACCTAGTGGGGGTCTCCAATTTTATTAGGGCATTGTGATGCACAGCCCAATTAGTTTTGCAGACCCCTCAAAACCTGGCCCTAGCCCCGGCTGCCACCTGTGGGAGTTGGTGGCTGCTGAGGCTGGAGTGGAGCATGGCCCCATGGGTGGCACAGCTTAAGGGGAGCCGGTATGGGGGGCAGATGCAGGCTGCCTCCTGCAGGCCTAGGGCTCTCTGCCTTGCTGCCCTCCCCCCAGGGGCCTCTGTGGCCCAGCAGGTTGTATCTGGTGCAGGAGGGCAGAGCGGGTTGAGGCCAGAGGCTTGGTGCTGTCATCAGGAGCCCCACACCACCATGGCAAGGCACTGCTGACCCACCTGGCAGCAGTTGGGGGCACAACTCCATGCTACTACACCCACACCAAGCCTCCCCTGCATTTTTCTCCTTAAAAAGAGAAAAATCCATGTTTCTCTATGGTGAATGGAAAGATGAGATCCATGAAAATGATGATGTCACAGAGCATGGGACTGAAGTATAGTCAAAAATATGTAGGAGCCTAAAGTTGGGCTCCTAACTTCATACTTAGGCATGGAAGTAAATGGCTGATTTTTGCTTGATGCAGCCAGAAGAGCCCCATCTTTGACCTGCTCCAGCCCCCTTTTTCCTGGACCAGTCATTCTCACATTTTTTGGACTTGAGGCTCTGCACATTGGACTCAAGACACCCCTCCATAACTTTGTGAACTTAGTGGCACCCCATTACAAAAACTAATGTATATATTACAGTGCTTACCCCCTTGCAGAGTGGCTGGCCAATGGTGGCGGGGGATCACTCAGGCAGTGACAAGCCAGAGCCTGTGTTTATCTACTTAGCTTATCTGCTTATCTCCTTGCACTTCACTTATCTCCTCACACTATGGGGCACCCTTGAAAGGACTGGGAGGCACCCCAGGGTGCCCAAGTACCCTAGTTGAGAATCAATACCTAGACTGTGACCCAGTATCTGCTACTCCATTCAAAATAAAAGAAAAGAACCATTAACAGGATGGCAAACCCATGGGACATGGTTACTGTCAGGCCCAGGATTGCAACTCAGGTGTCCTGGCTTCTGATCCTATGCTCAGGAAAATCCAGGGACTTCAGAATGGGATATTTATATTTGTAGTTATCATTAATTCATATATTTTCTTTAATCCACTGAGGCACAAGCCATATCAGCAGTGACCAGCTACTGTATCACAGCAATGAAACACCTTGTATTCATAATATAACATATGTAAAAACATGCAGTACTTTGAAATTAGTGAGGGAAAAATATGTTTTTTTCTGATTGCTAAAACAAATATATATATTTTTGTTTTTTTGCATTACTTCACTACATTTAAGAGGCTTCTTCTCATCCCTACACCAGTTTGTAAAAAATGCAGGTGTCTTGATTTAGGCGTCTTCAGCTGACAAGGCATATGTGCTCTGCTGATTTAGTGGAAAGACAGTTTCTTTTTCTAGCAGGATGCACTACTGCCAGATACTTTTTTCCCATTTAGACAGTCATGTTTTCAGATACAACTGATCTGACAGATACAACTGATAGTTGAAAATGTCAAAGTCCAGACAAAATTTGGGACCAGCCAAAAGCAAAACCTGACTAGTTTGGAAGCTCATTATAATGAAGAATGATTGTTTTCATTGTGTGATTCCTCACTGCAGTTCAGAAGGGAAACAGAAAATGGATGATGTGCTGGGTTGTAAAAGGAAGTATCACATCAGAAATCTGACAAACAGAAAGTAGGTTTTAGGGGAACAGCAGACAGTTTGTGAAGTATGTGTTTCAGTATGTTTTATATTTATGGGAAAGAGAGGCAGAATTTTCCTTTTGCGCAGAGATTATTAAATGAAGGTCAAATGTATAAAATATACTTACACTAAAAATGATAAAATGACACAAGGATATTCATAAAGATTGTAAATGAGCGAAATGGAGAGCCAAATGGAGACTTATATAAGCAGTACTGTAAACTTAATTTAGAGTACAGCAGTTTCATTCATTTATCTCAGGGCTGAATTTGGCTTTTAGGTCAAGACTTTAAAAACTAATGCTGCCTATACATGTACTCAGGGGTGATGGGGGAGAGCGTTTTAATTGGAATGGTTCCCAGACAGCTGCTTTAATTAAAATGGCTCACCATCACATGTTTTAAGCCTCTATGTATTTCAAAATGGCCATGGGATGCTGTAACAAGGGGCCTGCTCTGGCCTGCCCATCTGTTTCTGGGCTAACCGCACACCTTCTGGCCCACCACGCCTTGTTGCTAATTAGTTAAATGATGTAATTAAGTGGGAGGCTGCCCATTTCCTGCCCCTATGCAAGGGACGCTATCTGCGGTTCCATTCCTCCTCTACACCACAGCCCGAGCCTCGCTGATGGCATCTAGATGTTATCGTCATCACCGGCCCCCACACTGGGCCCCAGAATCCTCCTAATTGAACCCCGCCTGGATTCCTCTGCTCAGGTGGTCTCATCCTGCTTCATACTAGGCAGCATAGCTCCCTGAACCACTTCCCCTTCGGGTGTGGTCCCCCCCGAGACCTCTGGCTCACTGGCCCTGGCCTACCTCCAGGCCAGTCAGAACCCCAGGCCCTCAGTTCTTGGGCGTTCCTTGCGGTGGGCCCCTGGCCCTTCGACCCTTCCCGTTCTGGCCCCAGCATGGGCCAGTCAGGGGAAGTCCAGACAGGCCTGAGTCTATGGTCTTTTCTCTCTCTCCAGGGGTCCACCCTCTCGACCCTCCAAACAAGGGATAACCCGCCCGGTCGTGGGGGCTAGGGGTTAAGGCACCCCGACCCACCTTTCACCTGGGTGGTAACTGGCCTGGCATTTCCTGGGGGCTCCCACACCACTAAGAGCCCCACCAGGCCACCCACTCCTCAAAGAGTGCAGTTTTAGGTCGTGCCCAGGACCAGGAGCCTCCTGACCAACCCCTACAGCTCCTCCCTTACCTCCAAATGATATCAGCAGCCCTCCAGCCAGGCAATGTTGCCTGGCCTCCAGCAGCAGAACTGCCCTGTTTATATGGGCAGCCTTAGGTTCAAAATGGCTGCCCTCATCAGGCACCTGACAGCTGCTAGTTCCAGGCCCTTAAAGTGGCAGGCACAAACAATGCCCTGCCACAGATGCTTTATCCAAGCAAGGTTTAGATAAAGTATCTCCGCAAATATTTTGAAATGTGCAGGGACTTAATAAATGTGACTGTGAGGCAACACTGGAGCGCTCTGATTAGAATGTGGAGCAGGCTCGATTAATCTCTAGCTGCCTATAGAAGTGCTATAACCTCTAAGCTATGGAGCTAAAACACAGGAAGGCCCTCTTTGCTTTTTGCAAAGCCACAGTTTTGGGAACTATGCACAGGTAGATGCATAAAGAGCCACATATTTTCTGGGCCAAAGCCCAATCTACTGCATGTGAAGCAAGACTGCAAACTGTGCCCAAGTACCAATAATGAGTTTTTTAGTATTTTACTTGGATGTATGCACCATGTTTCCATTTATGGTATCATGTCTCATTTGCCATATCCTCAAAACTATGAAGTAGAGAACAGAACTGCATTTGGGAAATTGCATTCTCTTTCTCCTGCTAATTGTCAATCTAGATTAAATTAAGAGTCTTCCACTCTCAGATATGCAGGCATTGTCAGAAGAGTAAATGGTACAACAGATGTACTGTCATTCCCTAAAGGCAAACAGATACACCTCATAAGGAATAAGGAGGAGTGTTAAACTACATACCTAGAGAATAAATGTGAGTCACAACAACCTAACTGCAGAGGTAATCACGTATAGAGCTACAGGCCCCGCAAAGTGCATGAAAATGACTAAAGAATAAAATGGGAAAGTGGACACCTCCTCTCATGGGATTATTCTCCTCTCCCCTCTGCCTTATGCAGACACCTCAGCATTAGCTAGCAGATCACATACTGTCTATGGTCCATGCTGTGGGATACAACAGGCAGACAGGCTTTTTGGCAATAGTCAATAGGTGGCTTAATGAGCTGTTTAAGAAGAGTTAAAGGAGAGAGGCTTTGTTTTCTTAATGGGTTGATAAACACTGAGTGAAGGGTGATAAACATTCCCTGCTGGGCTGCTTAAGAGTGGGAGGGAATATCAGAGCATCCTGCCAAGGCCTGGCCACACCCCCCTCAGCTCAGCCCTGGGGAAGGAAGGGAGGGCAGCTCTAGTGCCCCTGGCCTCTAGCCTGAGCCACTGTAGGCATGTGCCTGCATTTCTGGCATGTCTGTCCAGTTACAAAAGTGATTTAGCCTAGCCAGGTTAGACTAACTTGCAAAGTTTGAATCAATTCAGGCTTTTGGAATGTCTGTCCCTAGCCATGAAGGTCTTTTTCTCCTGATGATGAACGTATCCAAACTGGCTGTCAGGTCTATCTCCACTTAAATTGTTTTGAGTTGTTCCCCACATTCTGGGCAACAGGGAGGAAAGGCATGTGCAGGATTTGGGTGGTCACTTTATGGATACTACATTGGCCTAGGCTTGAAGGAGGAAAGACTAAGATGCAAGTGATATGAGTTAACTAGTCCAGAACTTTGTTAAGTCATCCAGGAACACTGCATTGTACAGAGCAGATCATTGTTTTTTCCTTAATTGTCTCCACCTATTTTGGGAAAGCTGCAATTGCTGCTGAGACCTTACCACCCTCTCCTGGAATGAGGTTTCAGCAGG